CATGTGAAATGGCGCGGCCTACGTCCCCTTACATCTCCATGTGAAATGGCGCGGCCTACGTCCCCTTACATCTCCATGTGAAATGGCGCGGCCTACATCCCCTTACATCTCCATGTAATCGGACGACTGCTGAAGAAATGTGCTGACTGTACACCGCTTGACAGTGAAATGAAACCTGCGGGAGGTGATGGTGGATGAAGAGTCAGAGCTCCACAGGTATTTATGACGTGAAACGTCCCGAGAATGGGAATAGAGAGTGTGCGGCTGACCGGTTAAGCATGCTGATTGGTCTCTCAGGCATTTCCCCACTACCCAATATGCAAACGAACCGTGGCTAATTGCCTTCTCGGACTCATTACTTGACTTTTTTTTGTATTGGCCTGATTCATTTGGTGTGGGACCCCCCCCCCCCCCCCTTTCCTGACCTTTTATAACATGCCAGCAGTCAGTACAATCCCGCTTTCCTCGCCGCAGAGCTGGCCAGGAATTAATGCGTCGAGCTGTCGCCCACCCTCCCCTACATGTCACCTCGCGAAGGGAATACAGCTCTGCCTCACACAAACCCCGGAGGCAGCGTCCCTCCCACTTTTCTCGCTGACCATAGTGCTCTTCGGGGTGGTCCACAGCCCTTAGCCCCCACCACACCAAGGGGGAAAGGTCGTCATGGCTGAGAATGCTAATGCCGTAGCGGTTTATCGGGAATCCAGGCTATTCCCGAATCGCTCCAGTTTTCTTTTCACCGAGTTTGGTGGACGTACGTTATCGTTGTTGCCCGAAGCAGGGTGAGTGCCCAGGTAAGGGCTGGGCTCGGGTGTGGGATGGGGAAAATAAAAAACAGACATGCCATGTGACCCTAACCATCAAGCAAAAGCAACACTGCACCCCCCAAACACTGCCTCCAGAATAAGAAACAGCATTATCCTATGATATGTCGTTGATTATCCCCCTTTGAATGCCAGATGGATTAAAAAATGCACATTCATAAAAATGTTCCAGTATTATTTCCCAGCTTGCACAACTCCATGGGGATTTCTGACAAACAAAGTTCGACAACAGTATTTCCTAAGTCAATTTCAATGGACTCCTTTAATCTTTTTTTAAGAGCAACACTTATTGATTCATGTGCCTATAACAAATGCATCAGCGCAAACAAAATAACATACATGGAACAACAGTTCAATTGCAGGCTAAGAGAGCTACTATTGTTCTTCTGAAGCTCTTATTTGTCAAGGGCAATAAAGTTTTAATAAGTCAAAAACTTACTAACACATATGATAAAAGGAACCATGTCGGACACAACACTGCCTTTCACCAAGTAAATCCTCTTTGAAGAACCTATTACATACACAAATACTGACTCTGTTCTGTACTGCTTCTGAACAAAGACATCTTGGTGACAATATTAGGCAGCAGACCGCACTGCTACTGACGTCTACTGGAGCAAATGAACAGTAACGTATTGCTCAGGTGTTGCACTGGGGCCCACTTTTGTTTGTCTGACTAGCGGTAGCACTGTGTGCTGATTGCTTATCCTCTGACCCCTGACTCGCTTGCCTCCCTTGAGCCGATGACCCTGCCACATGGTACCTGTGACCGCAAATGACCATTTCCAAGCCGCAGCAGTGTCACATGCTTTCCCACACTCACAGCGCTCTGTAAGTGATTGCCGGCCTGCCCTCTGACCTAACCCTTCCACCCCCAAATGGCAAGAGGTCAGCTGGAGCACCTGCTCTGCGTGCCACATGCTGTAGGCTGAGACCCATGCTCATAGTTACTGGTCATACAAGTATATTTCTTCTGTATAAAAATTAAAAAGGCCTATGATGAACAATAACAAGCCATTGTTCTTTTAATAATATACACATTAAGTTAGATGTTTGTATTTTCACTGTTAGTTTCCACAGAACAATAATAGCTCACATTTTCAAAGTGAAGCTTTTCTGCAAGGAAGTTTAACTTGCTTTCTAAACAATCATCTGCCAAGAACAAGTATGGTCTCTCTAATTCCGGCATCACTCATCGAACAAATCTTTCGTGAAAGCCCATAATTTTGTTCCACTGCATTTTTACCTACTAATTTAATGTGCAAAGTCAATATGTCATTTCAGTGTATAATTTGATTTGGTGGTGAGTGTACCCTGCTCCTTTCCTTCAAGCGTTTTCACCACCCGTGGCTGGTGGCTAGGCACGATAGTAAAATAATTAAACAAACTGAGAGTGACGACTAGTATTAGAGCACTGTTTGTTTATCCATAGCGAAAGCAGCTAAAGTTCCCCTATCTATCTTACAGTGCTCAAGGTAAGCTCCTTAGCTTCATGGTATTATTTCCAATCCCAGAAACTCAATCTGGGCAAGAATCGACCCCCTACATAATCAAATTAATCAATTCACTGAGTCACTGATGGACTGCAAAGACCTTTGACTGCAATTTGTCCTAGACGATATGTCTGAGAGTTCAAAAGAGCAACGTTTGAACACTTGTCAAGTGTCTCTTCTGTTTGATTTACTCTGGGAGAGCATTTAGCATTTAGATATACTCTGGCTAGTATTAACTAAAAAAGAAATGTGCATTTTAAGGTGAAAGGGACAATGTGTGAATAGGAGACCTGATTATCACTAAACAGACCACCATATGTGGGACCAGAAGCTGGATGTGGGCACCACAGAACCTGCTGTAGAAAATACGGCCCTATGTCTGTAGATCTACAAACCAGACTACTGCATCAAAGATGATTTACTAGAAGTCTGCTGGCCCTCGTCTCAATCTTCCTGCCTTTATGTGGCCTCAGGAAATCAATTAGGGATACTTCTGCTACTCTGACCTCACATCTGTCCAAGATGATGGATTCAGAGAAAGTAATGAGCTTAGCCTTCAGTGCAAGAGTTTTTTTTAGGGCCAGGTGGAGAAACAGAGGCTGAATAACACAGATATTCCAAAAATTTAGAAGAAGGAAGGCTCACTAGATCATCATGATCAGCCTGTCTGCTAGGATTTAGAAACTTCTGCACAGCACAAAAAAATATGCGTTCGAACAGTAAACCTTAAAGAACAAGCATATGACTATTTTTTATCAAAAATGATCTAGAACTATGTTTTACAAAAAATATACATTATCTGTTGAAGAAAAATGCTGAGACTAATATGAAGCAAATATGGGCTTTTTAAGACTTTATGAAAGTGGGCAGAATATGTTCTTCACAGTTTAGCATCTGTTTGGCTGCTGGCTCTGCCTTAAGGTTCAGAAACAACACAAGTAGTAACACCAAAGATCACAAAAAGTGATGATGCCTGGTGTGAAGAGGTATTAACCACAATGGAAAAAATACCTATTAATTACTCAATCAATATCTTTGTCATTGATAAAAGTAGCTGCTAAGTAAATACATGTTGAAATATCATTGTAAGAACAATAGAACATTGTCTTTCAAACAGAGCAGAGGCATTTCTTGTAGCAAACTGGTCCCGGTTCAGTTGTTTTCCCACAAGTATTAAAACCACTATCCTTCCCACCCACAGCATGAACCATTAACTCAATGTAAGTACTTGTGCTCGGCAAGACAAAAAAATACTGTATCTCCAAAACACAATGCATCTGAATCATGCAAAATGCAGTAACGTGCGCAACGCATGCAGACGACGTTACGCTGACGGACCACAAACAGAGGCGGCGGCACTAGGTATTCCACATACCCGCGGGCCCTGGTCTCCTTGATCCCCCTGCAAAGAGTGAGAAAATCTAGTTGGAGTGGTTGTATCAGACGGAGAGAAGAGATGGGACTGGGTTCGAGGGAGGTGGTAGAGGAGAGAGGGAGGAAGCCATGATCCAAAACACAAAAATACTCCAGGCAGTCACCACAATAAACTGTTGAGGGCAAAACTGCTTATTATAAGACTCTTATGTGACAGAGGGATAGGACATTCCGGGGCTATGGGTTATACTGCTACATGGTCCATTTGGATGGGAAGGGAGGGCACAGTTACGATACATTGAGTAGAACGATTTAGACTGGTAGACTTAAAGAGCGACAGTGAGTAGGGATGGTAGGGTTTTATGGGTGAGCAGGGTTAGGTGCTACAGGTGAAGCTGAGAGACAGAGATGAGTATGTCGGACAAGAAGGTTGAGAGAGCGGACTGAACACAAATCTGATTCTGACCTCGCTGTTTAAAACCCGAGTTCAGGGGTGCTTTTCATAAGATGGGCTTGAACCAGACTCATCAGCAACGGAAAGGAGAATAAATTAACTGGATCAAATAATAGGTCCAATTAGATGACATAACAATGTGCCGAACATACCAATGAAAAGAGCCTCTGCATGACATAAAGGGAAATAAACTAGATTTAACAACTTAAAAGAGAGTCTCAGAACCTTGCTGGATATCATTTGTGAAATTAATATCTAGGAGTACCATCAGGGGCTCAGTCACTCGAATTATGTCACCCTCTCGGCCTAACTGCATAAAAAAACTAGAATGCATCTCAGCTTCTCTGGCCTACCATCTAGGAATGGTTTTGTTTGTCAAGTGTGGGGACTTGGATGTAGTGGGATTTACAACAAACACCGTATAGCCAAGACTGCAGCTAAAACAGCAAATTAAACTGCATGCAAGTGCGTCCAATTTGGCAACTATCAATTATCCACTTGTACAGAGGCAATGGCTTGAAACCCCACTTTTGGAAGGAAAAAAAAAATTCCCACTGTGGTGAGTTCACATAGTGGAGCCCTAGTCCTGCTGTTTTTTACCTTTTTGGGGCCTGATTTAGAACTGAACTGCCTTGGGCAAGTAAGGACTCATGCCTTTTGTGGGTCTGAGAAGCACTGGGAAGACCTCATAAGGAGAAACGGCATACACCAATGAGCTCCCCAACGGCAACATAGCTCATCCAATCAAGACGAATGACTGATTTAAGTTCTAACGAGTAATACAAATTAGTAAGATTTCATTGGTACATTTCCACGTTTCCTTCTAAAATTCAGATTATGGTTTGTTTCTCCAAACAGTCATAAAATAACAAAGTATGCTGAACAATAACTACCATCATTAGAGCCCAGAGTTCTCTCGCGATGTCAGTTTATGACTGATGGAAAACAATGATGCTGTCATAAATAGCATCTCTGTCATAAACGGAGAAGCCATGGGTGTTTCCATACTTTAAAACTATTTGAGCAAATTGTAACGGTGTTGTCTTGCATGTTATTCAAATTCAATTATAAAGCAAGTTATATAAAACATTGATAAGGTATAATTGCTATTGCCAACTAAAGTCTAAGAGTTCAGTATCGATGTAAGGAGCCTTGTTTCTGGGGAGAGTGAGGGTATTTAAAATTCTTTAAATGAGTCGTAAGGTTGATAGGGCTTCCAGAACATCACACAAAACACATTTTTTAAAGGTTCACTCCAATTAGGAAGAAACTCAATTCATGAACTCCCTCTTTCCCATACTGTCCCGTATAGTAGAGTGCTAGAGATGGATGGAAAATAAAGAGGTTTGGAATCGTGTGGAGCCAAACCATCAAGCAACGTGGTTTATATTAATGCAGAAGAAGGGGAAAACATGGACCGAGAGGGGACAGTGGGACACAACACAATGAATTTGATAATGAAATACATGCTTCTTTACCTTGTCACCCTTTAGACCAGGAGGACCCTTTGAAAAGAAAAAGAGTAAAAAGAGAGGTGATGGAAGCAAGGGCAAAGCCAAATTACAATCACATGCAGAAGGAATGTCCTTGTTCTGGCAGAAAAGTGTCATGTATTGCTTAATTACAGGGCTAAAATCTCAACCAGAGACATGTAGCTAAGAAGTGTGTTTCTTCCTCCAGGAACCAAAGGCAACAATCGTCCACCTCAAATTATTAGTAAATAAAATGAAACTCACTATAAGATTTACATCGATCAAGTGAGGTAGATTAGGACCAATAAAAAAAAAATGCTCCAAGAGAATCTTAATCTTATTTTTAAGGAAACTAAACTGTTTACTACCCATTGCTCATTGACTTAGCCAGTGAACTTCAGGGGTAGTTAGCTATTTTTTTTATTATAGATTGTTCTAGTGAAAACCATAAAAGATCTAGCAACATCTTTTCACTACTGGAAATAAGTACAACGCAAATTAGGGTTAACACGAGTGGATTCAACACCTTCAGGTCAGCATGACTCGTATAATCAGAATTTCAATCAAGGATGACTGCTCAAACGTTTAGCCTTATTTGTGTGGACACACTCACAGTGCATGATGCAGCATACGCTTACTACCTGAGAGAGCAAATGTTTCACGGAGCAGAAACCCACCAATTCTGTGGAATCATTCAAGCTGAGAGTCCGGCCCATGGCTCAGAGGAGTTCCCCTGCAAGCACCCAGACTGATTTATTGCAGACGGATGAAACCTGGCTTCCTGGGGGCCCCCCCACAATATAATGCACAAAGGCAGAATGCCTCCCACAGCTTGCAAGACAGGAAACTGTGCAGGTCAGCGGTTATATGCAAATTGGGGACCTGGACGGAGACAGACGGCAGGAGATGCAGTGAAAAATGCAGGGATCTGTCTCTCCGGCCTGGAAGCCGCTGAAGCTCCTGTACTATTTGAATCTGATGCAACCTACCGCTGAGATGAAGATGTTCACTCAAAGCCTTGGCGGGATCTTTAATGAAAGGGAACTGAGGTGTTCTGAAAGTAAAAGACCTCCCTCTCCCCAATGCCACAGCCGCGGCACTTTTTATAACAACAATCATCTCGGAGATGATCAGCTTAATGGTGTACATTCAGGCTATAGTGTGCACGCATTTTGGGACGCAGGTATCATAGCTGGTTATAAAAGACAAAGCCTATTTATCCAGTGACACTTCTGTACGCTTGGATGCACAGCAGCAAATCAATGTGGCAAATGCTCGTTTACTTCTCCCGGGCATCTGCCCCTATGAATGTATCCATTTTTGAGACTTTGCACACAGACGACAGACTAGGACCAGACCAGAAGGATGCACTAATTAGGAACTGACACACTGCCCAGCTACTGGTCAACAGGATGGATAAATGCCAGTGACCAGGGTCAGACAGCGTTGCTACTTTGGGTTCCTACTGATAACAGGTGGCGGAGCTGGGATCGGAATGGCTTGACAGCAAGATAGAGTGGGGGTGGGCTGGGGGGGACTCTTTTTATGAACCGCAGAGTATGAAAACAGTACAGCTCCAGCTACTGCTTGGACTCCCATTCGGAAGTGGGGGTGTTCATTACCCTTAAGTAAGGCGCTCCCCCCAAACCTGCTATATACATTAGTTACCAACTTCTGGGCTCAAGAGGCTACTGGCAAGAAAAGAAGGGAAAAAATGCAATAAATAAAAATCAAAATCTCCCATTATCTTATAAGACTTTATATTTCATTAAAAATTGATTGTTTTAACTTTTGGCTCAAAAACTGCAAGGGGAACAGAAAATAAGGGGCAAATATCTGCTTGTCCCCTTTTAAACACAATCATTGTTTAAGTTTTGTATTTTTATAGGTCATCATAAAAAAATCCCTCAGTAGATCTTAAATTGATACCATGTAAACACAGAAAGAGTGGAAGATGCCTTATCGGGAACACGTGTGAGTGCGTTACTGTCCTGCGCTGTTGTGTTATTGTTGCACTCTACACCAAGTTTACCACAGTGGACTAGGCAGCGTTCTCACACCTGCTGGTGTTGCATTTGGTTTATTTGGGACCGTAGTCTTCGCACTACCGCCGACTTGTCTGCTTTCTGCTGCGCTCTGTTTGTTTTCTGCGGACTCAAGCGGAAAAATGGAACATTCCAGGCCAGTGAAGTTAATCATTCGGATATTTATTACGTCAAAAATTAATTTTGAAGAAGCAGTAGCATAAAAGTGGAAGAAGAAAAAAAAGAAACAGCCGCTTTACAACTATGTGAATACAGGCAGTTAATGCAAAGAAAATAAAAGCTCGTCACGGATTCTTAATTTTTCCCTGAAATGATACGCATGCCTCTCCTGCTTGATATTCAACAGATGCTCACCAATCAGCATCGATTTATGGAACAGGCCAATCATGTGCAAGTGTCGCCAACCTCATCAGCCCTGAATTTAGTTGTTCTAGCCCATAAAGTACTAGGGCATCCACTGCAGACATGAGGACTCAAGAAATAAATTTAAAAACTGTCATATGTTTTCTGACCACTAGAGGGCCAAATGCCTGGGAATTGATCTTGGCGGACATCAGGGAAGATTTGAAAACTTTTTTTTTCTTCTGAATTTAAAGGCTTAGATGAAATTTCACCATGACCCTATACTGGATCAGTGGTGAGTAAAGTGGATGGATAGGTGATCTGGTAAGCTCAATTGTTTCAGTTGTATCTAGGGTTAGTCCTTTTATGAGAGCGTAAGAAATTAAATAGTTGACAGAGATTAAACAGGTGCTGTTTCAGGTATGTAGCCATCAAAAGCCTGCAAACGCCCAACTACACAAAGCAATTTCTAAGCTTTCATTTGCCTAAAGTCCAGATAATCAATTAAAAAAGAATCTGAGTCTATATTGTCACGCCCCGCTCCGTCCGCTCCTAATGTGTGCCACGCCCACCTCATTACCTCGTGTTCATCCCTGCTTGTTCTCACCTGTTGCCTATTTCGTTTGCCTTGTCTTGTGCTTTTAGTCCATGTCTCAGTCAGTGTACCCCAGATCGGTCATTGACGTTTGTCAGTGTGTTTTCCCCGGTCCTGTTTCCTCAATTAAAACCCCGTTATTTTGACTTCCCGGCTCCGTTTCCCTGCTTCCCTGCTCACCTACGGCACTGAACGTGACATATATCTGTACTGTATGACAGGTGGTCTAACGGTTCAGTCAGCCTCATCAATGAGCTGGTGTGCACTGTGCAGAATTTCATCTGGGCACAGCTTTCATTCCCATAATCCTTTGTGTCTTCACACCTTAAAAGTGCTTGTCCAAGGCTTCGTTGGGTCCAGTGGGTCAAGCAGCCTGGCCTTCATAGCGCCCAAATGAGGTCCTTCCATATCTCACAGCTTCACTCCCTGTTCCTAGCGGGCAGCCCCCACACACTTGGATGGGCTTAAAAAAACAATAAAACGGCATGAAAGCCGCAGGAGTGCACAGCCAAGCACCAGGTAGAGGGGATACCTGAGATTCAGCTTGACTCTTTACTGTTCATAAAGTCCTGATAATACAAACGACCCACTTAATATTAATAAAGCACAATGAATTAAACAAACAAAAAAAAAAGGCCAGCCACGGGTTCCGCCCCTGTGGCTTTTAATGTCTGTGGTAGATGCCACAGAATGATTCATGACTTGCGATGCATTTAAGCAGAAAGTTTATTAAAAAAAATAAAAAATAAAAAAATAAAACGAGACACTGCAGCGCTCCTCAGGGCTGTTCATCACAGCATACTAACAGTAAGGGTTTGGCAGGAACGGGCAGTGGCGCATCACAGCCCTGCGGTCTGAGGACAATGTCCTGTGATTGTAACCCCCCCCCCACCTCCTCACTCTGCCCTGCGGGTCCTTTACTCTCATTAGCATCGGCAGCAGCTCTATCCATCTGCGCAGCCCTGTAATCAGCCAGCAGGAACGCTAAGGCCCGCTATTATCGCTGCATAAGAAATTGCAGCAGTGCAATTCGGACGCTAGGAAATGCATAAATTTGACCCATGCTATTTCTTCCAGAATTTCTTGGGTCCGGCTGTCAAACACCACTGTCCGGGTTACAAATGCCATGCGGGCCTGTAGTGGTCAGATGCAATCGGTCACAGGGAGCCATCAGTTTAGGTCCTGGCGCACACTTTTGTAGGATAACTGACAAAGAGCACTGAGGGTTATCTGATTGGACAGACTCACGGGGAGGAGCTACATCTCAGAGTGGTCACTCTTAAAACCTTCTCCACCTGCGTTTTCCTGGGGTGGCCCAAGGAAAAATCTAAGAAAATTTGTATTACCTCCAAAATAATATTTTTCTGAAATATGGTTCTCCATGTTAATGTAAACAAACAACTTCATCTGCCAAACCTCCGGGAGGCAAAATCAAATACCGCTGATATCAGTGATCCCCCCTCCCGATACTTATATCGCTTTCCATTCTCCCGTCTGGTGCCCTTATGTTGGCTCTAGATGGAGGACACAGGTCAGGGGTAAAGTTAGAGATGGTGCAACACTATGCCATGGGTCTCTGTCACAGGAGGGGCACATGAGCTCCGCCCCTTTTGGATGCCCCGTGAGCTCCGCCCCTTTTGGATGGCCTGTGAGCTCGGGGGCCCGTTGCTGCTAATGAAAGTGCAGGGGCAAAGGCCAACCAGTGGCAGCTCTAAACAGGACACCATCAGAGCTCTGCCGTATCTCCTGCGCCAAGGCCAGCAAATGTGTTCAAAGGAGATTTGCCCTGTATTCAGTTTTTCTCAGTTCTGTGGTATTTTGTGGCACCGTGGAAACAGTGTATGCTTTGATCTTAAGCTTGAGAAGGGAAGGCACGACACCTTCACAACGCTGCCCCTGACAAGTGAAAGTGATGTGGACTGTGGGCCTGCTTCCCCTTTGCTGTGCCGAATGCCTCAAAGATGCAAAGTTCTCCAATGTTCAGAAAAAACACAGTTAGCGGTGTTAATGTTGGATCTGTTTACAAAAAAGCTAGTAAAATAAAGGATGAT